ACAGGAGATGGATGAGATACTAAACGAATTTTGTGTCAGTTTTCACCTTGGAGAAGGACATAGAAGTTAGGGAACTTGGGGAAATAAACAGTGATATCTTGAAAAGTATCCATATTACAGAAGAGGAGGTGCTGAAGGTCTTAACACACATAAAGGTAGATATATCCCTAGGACCTCATCAGATATATCCCAGAATTTTGTGGGAAAATAGGGAAGAGATTGCTGGGCCTTTTGCTGTGATATTTGTATCATCGACAGCCATGGGTGAGGTGCTGAAAGAATGGAAGGTGGCTAATGTGATACCATTATTTAAGAAAAGTGGTAAGACCACTGTAGGCTTGTAAGCCTAACATCAGTGGTGGGTAAGTTGTTGGAGGGAATTCTGAGGTACAGGATTTACATGCATTTGGAAAGGCAAGGACTGATTAGGGATAATCAACATGGCTTTGGACTTGGGAAATCATGTCTCACTAATTTGATTGAGTTTGTTTGAAGAGGTAACAAAGAGGATTGGTGAAGGCAGCATGGTAGACATAAGCAAGTAAAGCCTCACAACCCAACTTAGCTATTACCCGATTAATGGTGGAATTTAGCCACTATTTCAATCAATGTATCTGTCTGTTGATATGTCTAGGATTTGATTCACGTGCAGGGTTGTTCCCTGGAGTTCTGCCGCTGAAGAATCCCAAAGTTCAATTCTTAAGATTTTCTATCTTTCTAAGTTCATGGTGTGACATTATTTATGACACTTCTGAAGTCACTAAGTTTATAGCTTGGATTGTCGAAGCTACATAAATAAACTGTTTTAACAATAACAATAATTATTCAACCTTTCTGTCATTTCCCCATAGTCATTAGCAATACCTCCACTTTCAGTCTTTAGTGGGCTAATATTGTTCCTGACTGTCCCACATTCCTGTTAGGTAAGTATAACATTTCTTCTTATTGAATTGGATGTCCTTTGTAAGTTTCTTTTCATAAGCAATTTAGAGACTCTTTTACGCCGCTTTGTGGACTAACTCGGCAGGATCTGTGCTGGTTTTTTTACATTTATATAAGCTTTTCCTTTATTTTAATGCTGTCCCTTATCACTTTAATTGCCCTTTGCTATTTTTTCTGTGAAGTGGAACTTTTCCCACTCAGTGGTATGAACTGGTTTTGTATTGTGTTAGATGCTTTCTTAAACATTCTCCACTGCTCTTCATTTTTTTGCCTGTTAGATATTCCCCATTTACTGTGGACAATCTCTGTCTCATCTCATTAAAGTCGGGCTTACCTAAACTTAAAACTCTCGTAGCTGATTTGTGCCTTTCACTTTCAAACACTGCATTTTGTTACGACAGGAAATGGCCAAACCCCTCTGATAATTAGATTAAAACACAAGCCCCGATATGTTATAACAGGAGTAGGGATGCCCCTCCAATAATTACCCCTGAAACACCAAAAGAAGCTCGTCCTTCCCCTTGTAACCTGTTAAAAGAGTGGTTAAAAGAAAGAAAATCCCTGATCTCCACTTTACAAGTAACAAGAAACAATTTATTTATTTAATCTAACAATTAATAAAATAACAAAATTACTAACAAACCGATAATTCCACCCTTGACTACTAACTATGCCCTAGCTGGTCTAAATTCTACTGGAATGCTGTTTTAAATAAAAACAAGTCCCACTAATATAAACCTAATTAATAAGAAGCAATAAATTATAACTTAATCTCTCCAAGTTCGCACAGACTGTCTTCTGGAATATTATGTAATCTCCAGTCTCTTCCCAAGCATCTTTTTTCCATTAATTCTGCGATCAGGAATGTTTTATCTCTATAATTTCTTCAATGAGGACTCTGAGCTAAAACACCGTGGTGCCTTTGATTAATTAGATGGATTTTCTTGGAGAGCTGAATAGTACTAACTCTAGCAGGTGGCAGTTGTCTCTCTCTTTCAAATGGCAGTTGGCTCTCCCTGATTTTCCAAACGCCCTCACCTTATATACCCGAAATGACACAATCAAATTCTTATAATATGATTTGTTTCAGGTTGTCAACACCATCAGATTTAAATTCAATTGGCTTTCTGTTTCTCAGTGCTTCATTTAAATTAATTGGCCAAATTCAAACTCGTTGTCACAACATCAAAACAAGACTCAAAACAAGACAAAACAAGACAACAACTTCTCTTTCAATTCTGCCCACTTCCTACAGACAAAAGGGGTGGCCATGGGTACCCACATGGGCCAAAACTATGCCTGCCTCTTTGTAGGTTACGTGGAACAATCCCTCTTCCATACCTACACTGGCCCTAAACCCCACCTTTTCCTCAGTTACGTTGATGACCGTATTGGCGCCATCTCGTGCTCCCATGAGGAGCTCGAACAGTTCATCAACTTCACCAACACCTTCCACCCCAACCTTAAGTTCACCTGGACCATCTCTGATACCTCTCTCTCCTTCCTGGGCTTCTCTATTTCCATCTCTGGCAACCACCTGGAAACCGATATCCATTTCAAGCTCACTGACTCCCACAGCTACCTAGAATACACCTCCTCCCACCCACCTTCCTGCAAAAATGCTATCCCCTATTCCCAATTTCTTCACCTCCGCCGCATCTGCTCCCAGGATGAGGCATTCCACTCCCATACATCTCAGATGTCCTAGTTTTTCAAGGACTGCAACATCCCCCCCTCAGTGGTCGAGAACACCCTCGACTGTGTCTCCCGCATTTCCTGCAACTCATCCCTCACACCCCCGCCCTGCAATAACAACCAAAACAGAATCCCCCTCATCCTCACATACCACCCCACCAACCTTCGGATACAACGCATCATTATCCGACACTTCCGCCATCTGCAATCCGACCCCACTACCAAAGACATTTTTCCCTCCCCACCCTTATCTGCTTTCCGGAGGGACCACTCTCTCTGGGACTCCCTTGTCCACTCCACACATCCCTCCAGCCCCACCACACCCGGCACTTTTCCCTGCAACCGCAGGAAGTGCTACACCTGCCCCTACACCTCCCCCCTCACCCCCATCCCAGGCCCCAAGAAGACTTTCCACATCAAGCAGATGTTCACCTGCACATCTGCTAATGTGGTATATTGTATCCGCTGTTCCCGTTGTGGCCTCCTCTACATCGGGGAAACCAAGCGGAGGCTTGGGGACCGCTTTGCAGAACACCTACTCTCGGTTCGCACTAAACAACTGCACCTCCCAGTTGCGAACCATTTCAACTCCCCCTCCCATTCCTCAGACGACATGTCCATCCTGGGCCTCCTGCAGTGCCACAACGATGCCACCCGAAGGTTGCAGGAACAGCACCTCATATTCTGATTGGGAACCCTGCAGCCCAATGGTATCAATGTGGACTTCACAAGCTTCAAAATCTCCCCTCCCCCTACCGCATCCCAAAACCAGCCCAGCTTGTCCCCGCCTCCCTAATCTGTCCTTCCTCCCACCTATCCCCTCCTCCCACCTCAAGCCCCACCGCCATCTCCTACCTACTAACCTCATCCTGCCCCCTTGACCTGTCCGTCCTCCCTGGACTGACCTATCTCCTCCCTACCTCCCCACCTACACTCACCTTTACTGGCTCCATCCCCGCCTCTTTGACCTGTCTGTTTCCTCTCTACCTATCTTCTCCTCTATCCATCTTCTATCCGCCTCCCCGCTCTCCCTATTTATTTCAGAACCCCCTTCCCCTCCCCCATTTTTGAAGAAGGGTCTAGGTCCAAAACATCAGCCTTCCTGCTCCTCTGATCCTGCTTGGCCTGCTGTGTTATCCCTCTCATCAAAACAAGACTGCTGTTTTGCCTGCCACCTGTAAGGCTTTGTTTGATACACTTGTTTTACTTTTTGAGGCTCTCCTACTGGCACTTCAGCTGCTACTCACAGACATAGAATTGTTTTTCAAATTTCTAAGTACAGACAAAGCACAGATCTCATAAAGGAACCACACATTTTAGCATCCTGCCTTCCACTTCACAATTATTCCACCCGACTTCGTAACAATTTGAACTTGATTGCATTGTGATCACTATTTGATAAATGTTCACGCAAAATTAGGTTACTAATTAAATCTGGCTCATTATTCATATCCTAAAACTATGCCCTCTCATTCTAAATTGCCCCATAAGGGGAAACATTTGCTGTATGTGTAACTTGTCAATCCTCTTTAGGTGCATACAGAAGAGATTCTTGAAACAATATTTAGATAGTCCAACCAGAGAAAGACTGTATTACACCTTAATTAAAACAAAAATTCATGACAGGATGTGGGTGTTGTTGGCTAGGCAGCATTTAATGCCCATCCCTAATTGCCCAGATGCCCGTTAACAGTCAACCATATTACTGTGGGTCTGGAGTCACATATAAGCCAAATCAAGTGAGGATGTCCTTCTCTCAAGAACATTAGTGAACCAGTTGGGTTTTTCCTGACAACTGTTTCATGGTCATCATTAGACTCTTTAATTCCAGATTTTTCATTGAATTCAATTCCATCATCTGCTGTAGCAGAATTCAAACCCAGGTCCCCAGAACATTACCTGAGGTCTCTGGATTAACAGTCCAGTGATAATACCACCAGGCCATTGTCTCCCCATAGTGAATGAGCCTGGCCAAGTGATTGAAGTTTCAGTGGTGGAGCATTTTTGAAACAGCAATCATAATTCCGTAAGTTTTAAAATAGTTATGGAAAAGGTCCATGGGTGAAAGTACTAAGTTGGGGGAAGGCTAATTACAACAATAGTAGGCAGGAACTGGAAAATTTGAATTAGGGGCAGCTGTTTGAAGCTAAATCCACATCTGACATCTGGAGTCTTTTAAAAGCCACTTGACCAGAGATCAGGACCAACATGTTCCTGTGAGAATGGCAAGATTTGGGAACCTTGGATGACAAGAGATATTGTAAGTTTAGTTGAACAGAAAAAGTAAGCATATGTAAGGTTTTGGCCCTTGGGGAATATAAAGGAATATAAAAGAACTTAAAAAGGAAATTAGAGGGCTAAAAATGTCCTTGGCAAGTGGGATTAAGGAGATTCCCAAGACATTTTACATGCATATTAGGACCAAGAGGGTAACTAAGGAAAGGAAAGGTCCACTCAAGGACAAAGAGGGAATTCATGTGCGGAGCAAGAGGAAATGGGTAAGAAACTGAATGAGTACTTCCCATCGGTATTCAACAAGGAGAAATACATGGATGACAGTAAGCTTAGAAAGGGGCTTGTTGGTACTTTTTAAGGCATTTCAATTTAAGGAGGAAGCAGTGTTGGGTGTCTTGAAAAACATTAAGGTAGATAAGTCTCTGGAACTGCTGGGATCTATCACAGGATACTGAAGGAGGCAAGCGAAGAGATTGCTGAAGCCTTGATGGAGATCTTTGCATCCTCTTTAGTCACAGGCAAGGTCCCAGAAGAGTTGAGAATAGCCAATGTTATTATTTTGTTCAAGAAGGCGACAGGGATAATCCAGGAAATTATAGTCCGGACAGCCTTATGTTAGGAGTAGGGAAATTATTGGAGAAGATTCTTAGGAACAGGATTTACTTGGATTTGGAGAAGAATTGGTTTTTTAGGGATAGTTAGCATGGCTTTATGCAGGGGAAATCTTTCTCACAAACTTGATTGAATTTTTTGAGGAAGTGACGAAGACGATAGAGGTAAGGCAGTAGTTGTTGTCTATATGGTCCCTCATGGTAGTTTGGTCCAGAAGATAAAATTGCATGGAATCAATGGTGAGTTGGCAATGGTGAGTTGGCTACAAAATTGACTTGGAGACAGAAGCCAGTGAGTAGTTGTGGAGGGATGTTTTCTTACTGGAGGTTTGTGACCAGAGGTGTTCTACAATGATCATTGCTGGCACTGCTGTTATTTGTAATATATACAAATGATTTGGATTAAAATGTCAGTGGTCTGATTAGTAAGTTGCAGATGATAGAAAAATTAGTGGAGTTGTGAATAGTGACGAAGGTTATCAAGGATATAGACGAGATCAACAGTTGGGTGGAGAAATAGCAGATGGAGTTTAATCTGTACAAGTGTGAGTTGATGCATTTTGGGAGGTTAAGTGCAAGAGGAAGTATACTGCAAACGGCTGACCCTTTGTATATACATAGATATCTTGGGTGCAAATCCATAGCTGTCTGAAAATGGCATCACAAGTGGATAAGACGATGAAGAAAGCATAGGGCATTCTTGTCTTTATTAGTCAGGGCACTGAGTTGGCAAGTCATGTTACAACTGTAATACTTTGGTCAGGCCACGTTTGGATTACTCTGCACAGTTCGGGTCTAAATGTGGAAGCTTTGGAGAGGGTGCAGATGATTTTTACCAGGATGAGTCCTAGATTGGAGTGCATTAGATATAAGGAGGGATTGGCCAAACTTGGATTGCTTTCGCTTGAGAGCCGGAGGCTAAGGGTGACCTGATAGAAGTATATAAAGTTATGAGGGGCTTGGATAGGGTGGATAGTTGGAGTCTCTTTCACAGGGTGGAAATGTCAAATGCTAAGTTTAAGAAAGGAAGGGGAAAGTTTAAAGGAAATGTGCGAGGAAAGTTTTTTCACATAATGAGTAATTGTTTTTGGAATACGTTGTTGGGGAGGTGATAAACGTAGGTACAATAGCAAAGTTTAAGAGGCATTAAGACAGACACATGAACAGGTAGGGAATAGAGGGATACGAACCATGTGCAGGCAGATGGGATTAGTTTAGAATAGCATCATTGCCCCAGCAGGGGTTGTTTCATTATTATTATTATTTTTGACTTCCTGTTTTCATAAAAGAGTCGAAGGATCTTTAAATTATATTTAACCGTATGCTATCCCTGCTCCATGAGTGTCTGATGCAGATAGGGTTGAGGGGACTTAACTTACAGATTAATTTTTGTTTAAAAGAGAAGATGGAGCTTCAATTTGTATCCAACTCCGTACAATTTTACATTCAAGTTAAAAGAGTAGAGAGCGAGATTTAACATCAGTTTAACTTCAATCTAAAAGAGTTTTAATCTGTATCTAATACCATGACTGTACCTGTTCTGGGAATTTTTGGTGGAGACAATATAGAGGGAGCTTAACTTTCAGTTTACTTTTAGTTCGGAAGAGTCAAATAGCATCACGGTCAGTACAGACATGGTGGGGTGAAGGACCTGTTCTTGTGCTACAGTGTTATATGTTTTAATATCTCATATACTCAATTTGATCTCCTCTCATTCTTCTGAATTCCAGAAACTATAGGCATAAACTGCTCAATCTCTCATCACAAGACAAACTCCTCACTCTGGAATCAATCTAGTGAACCTCCTCTGAACTGGCTTTGATGCGACTGCATCCTTCTGCGAGTAAGGGGACCAAACTGTATGCAACACTCGAGGTGCAGTCTCACTAATGTCTTGCACACTTGCAGCAATGCTGCTCTACTTTAATACTCTATTCCTTTAGCAATAAATGTCAAAATTCCATTTACCTTCCTACTATGTCTGCCTACCGATTTTCTCTGATTCTTGCGTAAGGATACTTGGATCTCTTTGTACTGAAGCATTCTGCAGCTTTTCTCCATTCAGATAATAAGTTACCTTTCTATTCCTCCAGCAAGAATGGATGGCCTCGACAAATTCTGCCCAATTTACCTAACCTATCCACATTCATTTGTAAATTCTTTATTTCTTCATTGCAATCTATTTTCACACCTCTTTTAGTGTCATCTACAAATTTGGCTATTGTACTTTCTATCACTACATCCAAGTCATTAATATGAATGATAAACAGTTGGGGCTTGAGGACTGATCCCTGTGGCATTCCACTAATTACATCTTATCAACAAGAAGACACATTTATACCAATTCTGTTTTCTGGTGATTAACCAAACCTCTATCCAAGCTAATAAAATACTCCTAATCCCATATGAGCTTCTCTTGAGTACTTTTTGTGCAGTACTTTATCAAATGCTTTTTGGAAGTTCAGATAACCTACATCCATAGGATCCCTATTATCCACTTTGCTTGTTACATATTCAAAGTATCCAGCAAATTATTCAAACACAATTTATCCTTTACACCCGCAGACAGTGTTACAAAAGCCGAGGCTGTATAATCTCACAGCCAATTTAATACCCCCAGGGATAGTGTAATATACACAGAGATTGTGTAATACATGCAGAGACAATGTAATACATGCAGAGAAAGTTTGATGTAGGCAGATTCAATGTAATACTTTTGGAGACAGGGTAATATGTGCAGAGACAGTGTAATAAGGCAGAGACACTTTAATACATCTGCATAGGGTAGTGATTGTAATGAGGTAGGCTAGGTGGACCTCATAGAATATGAGTTCTCTGATTGGGGCTATTATTCTGTTCCAATCAAGGAGACATGGCTAACAGATAATAACAGGAGTGTCACACATCCTGTTCCCTCTGAGAACTGGCTCTGAGGGAGCTGGATCAGTATCAATGTCTCTCTATGTGTAAATTAAGGGTGACTTGGTGATGGGATACGGGCTTTGGCTGGGTTATTTCAGTGGCAATGAGTGAAAGGCATGTTCCTGAACAAATTTGCTGGCAACAGCTGTCTTTGAGTTAGGGTAAGCATTTCTGGCATCATGCTGTTATTTGGGAAGCTTGACCCGTTCACCCTGCCATCGAAAACTGGGCCCAGTACGTGGGAAGAATGTGTTTTTTTTTGGACAATTGATATTGGAGCTGATGAAAAGCAATGAGAAATTCTCCTGACAGCTTGTGGACCCACAGACTTTTCTGTTATTAGGACCCTAACTTTCCCTGAGGCACCAGATACTAAAACGTTTCAAGGGTTGATAGATTTAATTAAGGAATATTATGACCCCAAGCCTCATTTAATTCCGAGATGCTATTGGTTTTACTCAGCAATTTGAGAACTGGGGAATCTGCATTGGGAGTTTTGGGCAGCATGGTGGATCAGTGGTTAGCACTGCTGCCTCACTGCGTTGGGAACCTGAGTTCAATTCCAACCTCAGGTAACTGACTGTGTAGAGTTTGCATATTCTCCCTGTGTCTGCTTGTGTTTCCTCTGGGAGTTCCAGTTTCCTCCCATAGTCCAAAGATGTGCAGTTGAGGTGGATTGACCATACTAAATTGCCCATGGTTTCCCAGGATGTGCTGGCCGGGTGGATTAGCCATGGAAAATGCAAAGCTTCAGGGATAGGGTAGGGGGATGGGCCAAACAGCCTGCTTCCACACTGTAGGACTCTGAGATGCCAAGTTAAGATGACTGGCAGAAGCATGTGACTCTTAGTTTGAACCTTAATCACCTGTTGAGAGTCTGTTTGGTATGTGGGATTAATGATGTAACCATGCAAAAACACCCACTAGCTGAAGCCTGATTGGACTTCAACTGGCTTTATCACTGGAAAATGTGGCAAGTGGAGCACACAAGTTGCAGGGTATTCCGATGGAAGTCCGACTGAACTTGGGGAACGCCACTTGAGTTAAGACAATCGTATAGCTTCACTCAGGACATATCCTGAACAAAGGGACTCTAGCTCAGCCCACAGCAAAACCCCAAAACAAAGTCAAGCCAAATGGTTAAAATTTTCTTCATAACCTGGGCTATCAGGCCATTTGAGTTGCTGCCAGTATGTGGACTTTAAACAGCAAACCAGTCCTGCTCGACCTAAATTGAGAAGACCTTAAGAGAACTTACACGCCGGTACACATAGACTGTCATATCCAGCAGAGTGCACACCCTGGAAAGCCCACCTACATCTGGTTTGGAACAGTTAAATTGTTTAGCAACATTCAAATCAGAACCAATCAAAATAAACATCTGGTTAAATAGTCACCCAGTTTGAATGGAGATCGATACCAGCTCAGCCATTTTAGTGATCACAGAAACAGTCTTCAACAAAATTCACTCTGTACTCTAAACCTTAAATTTGCACAAGACTTCTTCTAGACTAATAACCTATACCAGGGAAACTTTAGAAATCAAGAGTACAACTTCGTTTCTGGTCTCTTATGGGAAGCAGCTGGTTCAGCTACCACTGATCATTGATAAAGGCTTGGGCCCAAGCTAGATGGGGTGAAATTGTTTAAGAAAGATTCACCTAGATTGGCTCAACAGTTCTTGATTATAAAATGGCTGTCTGAGTGAAGTCCTAATGAAATACTCGGAAGATTTTCAGGAAGGCCTAGGGACAATCAACAGAGATAAGGCCACCTTGCAAGTTGACCAGGAAGCAATTCCATAATTCTGCAAGGCGTGCCCAGTGTCATTTACCTTATGTGCAAAAGTAGAGGCAGAAATCAGAAGACCGGGAAATGAAAGGAATCATCAAGCCAGTCCAGTTTGCAAAATGGGCAGCTCCAGTGTTACCAATTGTGAAGCCTGATGGGCCAGTTTGCCTTTTTGGGGATTTTAAACAAATGGTAAACTGCTTCCAATCCCTCACATTGAGGATTTATATGCAAAGCTGACAGGTGGGTTGTCCTTCATGAAGCTGGACATGAGCCACACATGCTTGCAAATGTGGTGAGATAAGGATTTCCAGAAGTATGCTACAGTTAATACCCATAAGGATTTGTGCCAATATACAAGACTGCCACTTGGGGTATTGTCAGCCTGAGCAATATTTCAGTAATGTAGAACATTTTACAAGGTCTACTCCAAGTCTTCATTTATCTAGATGAAATGCTAATAGCAGGGAAGACTAATTAGGAGCATTTAGAGAACTTGGACATAAACCTTAAACATTTCTCCCAGGTGGGAATAAGCCTTAGAAGGGAAAAAATTATGTGTTTCAGGCATCCCAAAAGACCTGCTTGGGGCTATAGGATAAAGTGAGGGTGATCAAATGTGTCCTGGCCCCCTTGTCTGTTCTGGAGCTTAGGCTTTTCCTTGAGCTGGTGATTTATTATGGAAAATTCAAACATGACCTGGCCTCCATCCTGACACCTTTGCATCAATTGCTAATAAACGGTCAAACTTAGAGATGGTCGTGTAGCCAAGCCACAGCTTTCAGGGATGTGAAGAAACAACCGTCATCTTCTAAGGTGTTGGCGCACTATGATGTCAAGGCAGATTTGGTATCGACTTTCAATTTCTCCCCGTACAGCATTGGCTAATGCAGAGTGTAAATATGCCCAGATAGAGAAGGAAGGTTTGGCAGTCATATTTGGAGTCAAGATGTTCCATCAATACCTTTATGGATGTAAATTTTTAATAATAACAGAATAAAACCGTCTGGATGCTTTGAGCCACCTCCTGCTGACCGATATACCATTGGTGTTACTGGAAGAGTCCATAATGGTATTAAATTTTCTGGACACAGCTCCAGTCACAGCTGACAATATCAGACTTTGTATGCTGAAAAATCGGGTCCTGGCAAAACTGAAACAGTTGATGGGGGAAAACAAAGGCCACTCAGAAGCATAACTGAAATCTTTTTGGACCTGGAGAGTCCAGATCACAGTAGAGGATGGCAGATTATTATGGGGAACAACAGTGATTGTCCTGAGCAAATGTTACCATCAGGTACTGGCTAACCTGTGTCGGGGTCATCCAGGGGTTTCCAATATGAAGATGTTGGTGAGACGGTATGTCTAGTGGGCAGGATCGGATACAGATATAGTTACATTGTTGGGGCAATGCCCCTAGTGTCAACAAGAACAAAAATTACCAGCAGCAGCTCCCCACATTCATGGGAATGGCCGGTTAAACCCTGGACTTGGTTACACATCAACTGTGCAGGGCCTTTCATGGACTCAATGCTCTTAGTCATTGTGGATGCCCACTTAAAGTGGCTGGATATGCATAGGATTTATCCATCAAACACGGGGATGACAGTAGAAAAACTAATTGCATCTTTTTCAATACACGGACTCCTGGAAGTGCTGGTCAGAGATAATGGGCCATCATTTACCAGCAGGGAATCCGAGTATTTCCTCAAGTTAAATGGTATTCAACATATAAGGACAGCTCTGAACTATCCATCATCCAATGGTCTGGCAGAAAGAGCATTCCACACTTTGAAGGCAGGCTTAAAGAAACAGCCTACAGCTTCACTAGGTACCAAACTGTCCTAGTTCCTATTTGATTATAGAACCACCACTCATGCAACTACAGGGGTAGCTCCAGCAGAGTTGTTAATGGGGAGAAGGCTCCGTGTCAAGTTAAATCTAACCTTCCCGGACCTCGGGAAGAGGGTGAAACAGCATCAGGAATGTCAAAGCCAGACACAAGACTCCTCTAAACAAGATGGACAGTTTACTTCTGGGGATGAAAATTGAGGTAGGAACCGTGGGAATGGCCCTCCATGGTCAACACAAGGTCAGGTCCAGTGACATATAAAGTTCAGGTAGGTGTGATGGTCCTGAACAAGCACGTGGACTATATGTAAATTGCAAACTGGCAAACGGGGTGTGGGACCAAAACATGTCCAGCTTCTTGATAGCCTTTCAGACTGTTCCAGAATCTGTGGGTTCTCCCTCTCTGTCAAGCATTGAAGATAACTCATAATGTGAGATTGACACAGTAAATGGCGCCACCTTGATGCAGTTGCCACCTGAAGAAGAGAATGAATTTCTTCCAAGATGGTCCAGGTGCAAGAGGTGAGCTACAGTGTGTTACACACTGCCTGTATCAGAGGCAGAGTTGGAGGAACATGACTCAGTGCTTAAATGCCTTAGGGGGAGCCCCAGTAAAACAGGAGCTGACCTATGTCCTCGGACTCAGAGTGGGAGGGATGTAACGAGGTCAGCCAAGTGGACCTCATAGAATGTGAGTTCCCTGATTGGGGCTGTTAATCTGGTTTAATCAAAGAGCCCTGGCTGACAGATAAGAACAGGATTGTCTACTGTTTCATTAGCCATATGGGTGCATTTGTGGTGGTGGGAAATATAGAATAACGTTTTAGCACAATGGTGTCTTTTTACTGGGTCGCTACATGTTCACTGACAGCCATGGGTGATATGGGGAAAGCATAAGCACTACCGCTGAGCCTGCTTTGGATGTTGTGGTGGTGTGGGGGAAAAAGTGAAAAAAAACAGGAGTGTCAGACTTCCTGTTGACTCTGAGAGCTGGCTTTAAGGGAGCTGGGTCAGTATTAAGTATTCTCTATGTGTCATAAAGGGTAACTTGGTGATAGAATACCAGCCTCTGCAGGTTTATTTCAGATACAATGTGATACATTTGGATATATTAATGTAATACATCTAGTGACAGTCTAATACAGCCAGAAGCTATGCATAAACAGTAGAATAGGCCCAGAGACAGAGCAAGATATCCAGAACCAAAGAAATATCAATAGTCGGGTTACCACATATGTTTGCCACAATCAGTGCTTCTTAACCTTACTGCACACTACTCAAGAGAAAATGAGCACAGTTGATGTAATTGAATAAGGCAATTAGCTTGAAGGGTTGATTCCCATGTCTCAAACTGCTCCATAGCTAATGAATGACTTTGAAGTATCCATCACTTCCAATAAAAGCAAACACAAGAGCAACAATTTGCATTTACATAGCTCATTTATCACAGTAAAATTCCCTGAGACACTTCTCAGGAACATTATTGACCAAACTTAACAGTGAACCAAACTACAGGAAGACCATCATTAATTTCATTCTGTGATAGTTCCAGTCTTTCTATAACTTTTCTTTTCTTCTTCAGGTGGCATTAACCAATTGAACACACTCCCATTAATTGACCAGAGCCATGTTGCAATGACACCACACGTGATGGATGTGAAGTCAGTTGTCTCTTCCCCATTTGATGTTTCTTCTCCCATCAGATTCTATCACAACAATGCAGTGAGTATGGCTTAAAGCAATAAAGTCCGTATTTTTAACAAAACAAACCAATGTGTATAATTATCTGGATTTTAGAATGTGAAGGGAGGTAGGGCAATAAAGAAATGATGAAGGATGTAAATGGGGAAATATGCAGAATTAGCTGTTAAATATTCAGTTTCCATGGGACTGAAAAATTACAGCCTGGATTTTCCTGAAGTTGTCCAGACTCCATGGACCCTTCAAAGCGATGTATGGGACTTGATTCCAGTATTCCCACTCCCATCCCTGGCGCCCTCAATTTTCTGTGGCACAGGACATGGGTTCTGGTAGCATGCCTGTACCCTTTTCACCCAAACTGGCTGTTTGCATTGTGGGGATAGGATCTCCCAGTGTCCTGCTCTCTGTACAATCTTCCCTCGTGTCAGGTTGGCTTCCCCGTGACTTGTGGTTCATAGCCCCTCAGAGGAATCCTGAACCATCAACTGGATTTAATTCGATTTGAAAGGAGAGATCAGTAAGTCTCATCAACGCCACCCAATCCCCTTCCATGCCAACCCATGCCCTTTAGCCACCCCAGAGCAAAAATCAAGTTTGATGGGGCATTTAGCCCTGTGGTAAGTGATCCGAGCCAGAAAATTTCCCAATGCACGCTACCGAGCCCCAGCCCTTCAGAAATTTGTGGCAGATTGTCTAGATTTCATCTGAATTTTATTTTGAAGTCTGACAATCTCCATTTCTGACACAATCAAGGTTGAACAGTGCATTAAATCCACAGTCATAGTCCTTGAGCATAGAAATAGGTCCTTCGGCCCACCATGTTTATGCTGACAAACAGGTCACCAAATTATACTAATTCTATTTACCTGCACTTGGTCCATTACCTGTTATACTGTGGCATTATAAGTGCTGGTCCAGCTGCTTCTTAAATGTTGCGAGAGTACCTGTCTCCATAACACTCTCAAGTATCACATTCCACATTTTTACCACCCACATCTTTGGTTGTGGATTCCAGAGGCAAGAATGTTGAAAATTTCTCTTAAATGGTGAAATCTTCAAACCCCATTCAAATAAACATTGAGAATTGGACAGTATTACTTGTGTCTATATTGAATAGATACCATTCACAATCACTTAAATCCCTCTCTAACTACTCCTTCACACTGGCTCAATGCAGGTTCCTTCATGTCTTGGGGTTTTCTCCTAAGTGCACATTTGATATGGCAGGCATCATTTCAGGCTTGCTTTTGAAATCTTGGAATGCACTCAGCCATCAAAATAATGCACCTTCACAATTACATTTTGTAAAAGTTGCCTTGTTCAGAATAAAGAACAGTATAGCAAAGGATAATGTCCTTTGGCCTATCAAGCCTGTGCTGACACATGACACCTTTCAAACTAAAAGCCTTTTACTTCTACACAGTCTATAATTCCTCAATCCCCTGTCTCTTCATGTATCTGTCACGATGCGTCCTAAACATTATTATATCTGCTTCTACCATATCCTCTGGAAGTGCATTCTAGGTACCTATCAGTCTCTGTGTTAAAAACCTGCTTCTCACATCTCCTTCAAATATTTCCCCTTTTATCTTAAACCTATGTCTCCTAGTAATTGACATTTCAACCCTATCCATTCTATCCATGCCTTTCATAATTTTGTAGCCTTCTATCAGGTCACTCCTCAGTTTCCAATATTCAAGTGTAAACAAATCAAGTTTGACCAATCTCTCCTCATAGCTAATACCCTCCAATTCAGGAAACATCTTGAAAACTAAACTATTTCTGCACCGTCTCCAAAGCCTTCACATCTTTCTGACAGTGTGGTGACCAGAACTGTATGTAATATTCCAAATGTGGCTGAACTAAAGTTCTATACAGCTGCAACATGACTTGCAACTTTTTATACTCTATGCCCAAACTGGTGCAAGCATCTTATACACTTTCTTAACTACCTTATCCACTTGTAACGTCACTTTCAAGGAACTGTAGAGCAATATGCCTAGATCCCTCGGTATGTTAATGCTTCTACTCTATCCTTCTCTCTTGCATTAGACCACCCAAAGTACATCATTTCACATTTGTCTGGGTTAAATTCTGTCTGTCATTTCTCTGCCCAAATCTCCAGCCTATCTCTATCCTGCTGTATCACCTGGAATCCTCCTCACTATCCATAGCTCCCCCAATCTTTGTGTCAACTGCAATCTTACTAATCAGGTCACCTACATTCTCCTCCAAATCATTTATATATATTACAAAAACAGGGGTTCCAGCACTGATCCCTGTAGAACACCACTGGCCACAGAACTCCAGTAGGAAAAACACTCTTCCAATGCTACACTCTGTCTTATATGACCAAGCCATCTTACCAGCTCAAGATGCATCCCATGTGATTCACATTTTGTATCAGTGTGCCATGAGAGACTTTGGTAAAGGCCTTGCTAAAGTCCATGTAGACAACATCCATCATCCTGCCCTCATCAATAATCTTTGTCACTTCCACAAAAAACTCAATCAAGTTTGTGAGACGCGACTTCCCCACACAAATCCATGCTGTCTTTTGATAATAAGTCACTACTTTTCCAAATGTGAGTAAAACATATCTCTAAGAATCTTTTCAATAATTTCTCTCCCACTGACAGAAGGCTCACTAGCCTGTAGGTCATAGATCATAGAATCCCTACAATGTGGATACAGGCCATTCAGCTCAACAAATCCACACCGACTCTCCGAGTAGCATCCCTACCATACTCACCTCCCTATCCTATCCCTGTAACCCTGCTAATCCACCTGTCCTTAACATCCCTGGGCACTATGGGCAATTTAGCATGGCCAATCCACCTAACCTGCACACCTTTGGGCTGTCGGAGGAAACCAGAGAACCTGGAGGAAACCAACACAGACAGGGAGAATGCATAAACTCCACACAGACAGTCACTTGTGGCTGGAATTGAACCTGGGTCCCTGAAGCTGTGAGGCAGCACTGCTAACCACTGAGCCACCGTGCCACCCCAACCCAGAATCCCCTGTAATTTCCCAGATTAACCATGTGGCCCATCTTAAACAAAGAAGCAACAGTGACTATTCTCCAGTCATTGAACATAGAACAGTACAGAACAGGAATGGGCCCTTTGGTTCATGATATTGTGCCGAACTTGGCAACAAATTAAACTAATCCCTTCTGCCTGCCCTTCATCCATATCCCGCCATTTTTTTGCAAATTCATGTGCTTATCTAAATGTCCCTTAAATGTCCCTTTTGTATCTGCCTCACCACCACCCTTGGAAGTGCGTTCCAGACCCCTACCACACTCTGTGCAAAAAAACCTGCCCCTCACATCTCCTCTTAACTTTACCCCTCTCACCTTAATTGCATGTATTAGATTTTTAAGCTCTGGGAAAAAGATTCTGACCGTCAACCCTATCTATGCATCTCATAATATTATGGATTTCTATCAAGTCTCCCCTCAGCCTCTGCTGCTCCAGAGAAAACAGCCTGAGTTTTTCTAGCCCATCCTTCTAGCTCATGACGTCTAATTCAGGCAGCATCCTGGTAAACCTCTTCTGCACCCTCTCTAAAGTCTCCACAAGGTTCCTGTAATGTGGCGACCAGAATTGAATGCAACACTCTAAGTGTGGCCGAACCAAAGTCTTATAAAGCTGCTACACGACATCTCGACTCTTGTACTCAATTCCCCAAACAAAGAAGGCAAGCATACCATATGCCTTCTTTACCACCCTATCTAGTTGTGTGGCCACTTTCACGGAGATATGGACTTGAACCCTAAGATCCCTCTGTACATCAATGCTGTTCAGGGTCCTACCATTAACTGAATACTTAACATTTGATCTCCCAAAGTGCAGCACCTCATATGTACCCAGATTAAACTACATCTGCCATTTTTCCACCCATATCTGCAACTGATCTATATCCCGCTGTATCCTTTGACAACCTTCTACACTATCCACAACTCTGCTGATCTTTGTATTGTCTGCAAACGTACTAACCCATCCATCTACATTTTCATCCAAGTCATTTATATATATCACAAACAGCAGAGGTCCCAGTACAGATCCCTGCAGAACACTACTAGCTGTGGACCTCTCACCAGAAGAAAACACCTTTCACAACTACCCTCTGCCTACTATGGCCAAGCAATTCTGAATCCAAGTAGCCAAGATCTCATGCATCTTAATCTGCTGGATGAGCCTACCATGAGGGACCTTGTTGAAAGCCTTACTAATATCCATGTAAGCAACATCCACTGCTCTACCCTCATTGATCACTTTCGTCAACTCCTCAAAAAATTCAATCAGGTTAGTAAGACATAACCTGCCCTGCACAAAACCTTGCTGACTGTCCGAATTTGACCATAGTTTTCCAAATGCACGTAAATTCTATCCCTAATGATTCTCTCCAGTAGCTTCCCAACCACCGATGTGAGACTCACCGATGTATTATTTCCTGTTTCCTGTGTTGGACACAGGAAAAACATTAGCTTCTAACCAGTCCTCCGGGATCTCTCTAGTGGCTATCAAAGATACAAAGATCTTGGCCAAGGCCTCCAATCTCCTCTCTAGCATTTCTCAATAACCTGGGGTAGATATCATCGGGCCCTGGGGACTTGTCCACCTTAAGGGTCTTCAAGAGATATAACACCACTTCTTTTTTGATCTCAAAACACCCTAGCATATTAGCATGCTCCACACTAATCTCACTATACTCCATATCCTTTTCCTGAATGAATCCAATGCAAAGTACTCATTTAGGATCTTGCCCACATCCTCTGTCTCCAAGCTTAAGTGTCCTACTTTATCCTTGAGTGATCCTACCTTCTCTCTAATTATTCTCTTGTTTTTAATCTATACATAGTCCCAGTCCTAGACTGGGGCTATACATAATCACAAGACTCAAATCTAACGATGATGGTAGATGGTGAACTATCAGCCACTTGCAATTGACCTGTTGGCAATCATCGTCCTAAATTCTAAATAAATTGTCAGGTTGCTGCCAAGATATTTTCA